TTTTACAATATTTGTAGGCCTAAAATTTAGGAATGTAAATTTGTTTATTTAAAAAAAAATCGTGTTTGGACTTATTTTTTCTATTTATGTTATATATAAATAAAAATAGTTGTGTTTTTAATTTTTGTAATGTATGATTTATGACTATTTTTAATATCAAAGTAAGATATGTGACTCCTCCATTAGTGAATGAGATTCATTGTAAAATATTTGGATTAGGAGATTCATTGTAAAATAGTTGGATTGTGTAGATAAAAACATGATGAATGTTCTTTTTGGTTATGGGGTGATGAAATTTATTAGTTTTCTTTAGTTATGTATTTCAATTTTAATTTGTGATTCTTTTGATTGAAAATTCATATATGAAAGAACAAAAACTTATGAATATTTTTTTGATATGTAATTTTTATTTAAAGTATGTTAAAAAATTCCATGCTTCTTTATACTTGATGTATGAAAATATGTCAATTGTTAGAATATCTGTTAGAACAATAAAATTAATAAATTTGAAAAATATAACTGATAATGTAACTACAAATTATATTTGATTGTAAATTGTGAAAAATACATATACAATTAACTTTTTTTCCTCACTGATTTGCCTCTCTTTTTAATGATTTTTTCTTTCAATAACAACTACATCTTATAGGATTAACCTTTTTATATTAACTTTTCTATTCAATGTGTTTTTATGAAAATTGATTTGAAAATGTAAACATTATTTAGTAATAGAATATTACTATATTTAGATGATTTTTAGAAAATATCATGTAATCGATATATGAGTTTTACAAAAATAGAAAGATAAAATTTAAAAATTTGAATATCGTGCCTACAATTTGATATTTAATCATTTCATGTGAAAGTTAGATTTTAAAACTTACTAACAAGGATATAATATTATTTCAATTAACCATAATTAAAAATAATAGATCAAACATAGTAAAAACACATAAAGTAATTTGTTTTTTTAATCAAAACTAAAAATAAACAAAAAAATTAATATTATATTTATTAAAATTTCAACAAAACATATTTAAAAACCAAAAATGTAGCTAGTTATAGCTATAAACATAATATTTTTATTTTAATAATATAAGTATTAAATTGTGTATTAATAATACACTACAAAGTACATAGTAAATTTTATCACTTATTTTTAATTTAAATATCTGCGCAACGCGCGGGCACGTATACTAGTATAGTGATAAAAAAAAAAAGTAGTGAAATAATGATATTTATATTTTAATAATTTATGTGTTTATAAAGTCGAATGGAAAACGATATAATCCTCTGATTTTTCCTTTGAGGATCGTTAACTTAAGAGTTTTGCTTTATTCTTGAATAGACATATACTTGTTGGAATTTTGCCATAAATGTGGAGCAAAGCTTGATCACAATCATGAAGATATGAGAGCTCACAACTCGGAGCCAAAAATTCTTTGTACGTGGATTACTAATGAAGAGTAGATGTTTTCTATGTATTTCTTCCCCTTTACTAGTCTTATCACTTATGGAGACTCTTCCAATAATATTACTCTCAAACCTTTTAATGTTCCTTTAAGATCGTTTGATTGAAAACTAGTTATTCTAGAGTTAAATTATTTTGAGATTTATGAGATAATTATCTCATCATGTATATGAGATAATTTATCCATCATTGTGAAATAAATGGTGAGATAAGTAATTAAAGTACTACATAATATCTCCAACCAAACGCAGGATAAAATAATTTTGTATTTTATCCACAGATTTATCATACACTATACCTTATTATCATACATTATACCTTACCTCTAATGAATCCTGATAGTATTAGAAGTTGCAATAAAAATATATATTTACTAATGTGGCCTTGTCACAACTTGCACCAGTGGTCTAGTGGTAGAATAGTACCCTGCCACGGTACAGACCCGGGTTCGATTCCCGGCTGGTGCATTAATTTTTTGAATTAATTTTTGGAAAATTGTATGAAATAGCAAATTATTAATTTAAATTATATGTTATAGCTGTTGTCAAAAAGGGTCGGCCCAAGCCTCGTGAGCCAAGGAATTTGAAGGGCTAAGGCGGGCTGGCCCTTCATTCGGAGGGCCTAAAAATGTTCAACCCAACCCAACCCTAGAAGGGCCGAGGGCTGGGGCGGGCTAGCCCTTCCTTTTTTTATTTCTTTTATTTTCAAACATATAATTCTATAACATCAAGAAAATGAGAAGATTTTCAAATCAAATATGACAAACAATGGTG